TAAACAAAGAGCAGGTGTTGCACTCCATAAATCTGTAGCTGCCACCTGCTAATCAGTTTTCAATATCAAAGGCAGCTTCTCCATTTTGTGAAGAAATTGTTCGACTCAGAAAATAACAAGGTCTTGTCTCAAGGCTTAGCTCCTTAAAAGTCCAAGCACAGTAGAAATTTCTCCTGTGAGATTTCTTGTGTTTAAAAGCAAGCCTAATCTACTTGTCTGTTTCATTTATATTCTGTTCTTGATTGTGGGTTTGTGGTATTAGAAGGATAATTTTTGGATAAAGAAAATGTTCGTGTTCACAACAGTCTCCGTCTGTTCTTCACTGCAGTCTGACAACTTCAGATGACAGATTAGAGACCTGATTGTGTGATGGAATTCATCCAGGAATGTGTTAATGGGATTGGCCCATCTCAGCATCCTTCTGGTTATTCAGGGTGAGGCCAGCGCTCATTGCACACAAAAATGAGGCAGCCTAGTGAGTCTTTTGGATCATGACTTCTGAAGGGCCCCTACCAGCCCTTGGCCTCCATTCCATTAACCAAGGTCCTTCAACTCCTATCCCATGAGCACACTGTCCTTCCCAGAGTCCTCTGGGGTGCAGAGCTCAGGAGTCCCCATCTCAGACTCTGTCACGTGTTTTTCATACTCATGACCAGATCTGCAGAGACTCCGAGGTGAATTCCAGGGCCAGAGCATTCCAGACACAGTGAAGTTGCCAAGCAAGGTTGAACTATAGAGCCCTTGGAATCTACATGCAATGCTAGACGGTCTGCTCAGATAATTGGAAACATTAAAACTGTGTCACACTGTGCAATAGTCTAAGGCTGGAGAAAAATAAGTACTTTGTTCTATACACACTCAACAAATATTTCCCAAGCTCCTGGCATGGGCCATACCCTGCAAGATGTGTTGAGATTTGCTGTCCTGTCCCCCTGGCTCCCATCCAGGCAAGTAAATGGAGCATAAGCAATTGACCATAACACAGAGCAATGCGCGCTCTACACAAGTCTTTCCCATCTTTCTTAGTTAAAATGAGTTTATATCTGAGAGTTTGGGTGATGATATATTTTGAGGTGGTCAATTTTTTGTGTTAGGATGCTGGTGTGCTCTCCATATACGACACCCTTTAGTGCTTCCCAGAATACTGACGCTGTAGGCATGAGAGCATTCATTTTACAAGAGAGTACTGAAGCATAAAGGGGTGAGACAGCCCTCTTAGTTTGGCAAGTGACAAGGTTGGAATTAAAATAGGTCTTACTCCCCATTTAGGCTCCATTCAACCAAGGCCAGGCTGTGATCATTTACATAGGCTATATTCCATCCTGGACACTAGAGGGCGCAGAGGTAGCGAAATAGTGGGAGGAAGCTGGCTCTGGGGACTCTGTACAACCACAGAAACTGGCCCTGCCCTGTGCCTCTCTGAAGGAGTGTGACTATGGGGTGGTGTGGAGGAGGCCCTCTGAACCCAATGCACTGTCCAGTTACAGATAAGGACAGGGGTCACAAAATGTATCTTTCATCTAAACCCTGCAGCCCACTGCTTCCTTTACCTGTAGCTTTGCTCAGGACTGTTTGTGGAATTGAATCGAATGTCTCTGTATAGTCACAAGGGACAAGTGTACCCTGTTTCTTCTGCTCATCTCACAGCTGATTTTAAATCAGAGTGGTGGCCAAACAGCCGTTTAGCAGATACTGGCCCAAGGGAAGGTAGCCAGTTCACCTGTGGGTTTTATCCACACTCTAGATGTGGCCCCCAAGTCTCAGACAGATAAACAGCTGACATGCCATTCCCTGCCCCAGCTGACCAAGTCACAGAGGGCTAAGGCTGAGGCATGAGGATAAAGCACTAAGGCTGCAGCCCTCAGGATTATTTTTCACGAAGGAATAAGCACTCACAAGAATCTGCCAGGGCTGGGAATAGGTAGGTGGATGTTCCTGTTCTCCAGTCCCTTCCTTCCCAGATCTTTGCTCTTGACTTCTGGGTAGCTTTCCCATGATGGGGTAGATTTCCCAAATATGTGCATGAAAATCACTAGAAAAAGCTATTTGTATTTTAGGGGAAAGTATTTAAAAATCATCGCTAAACAATGTGTTTTCAAAGAGCCTTTGCTCATGTGTTTCGGGCTTGTGTGACAGAAACCAAATGGTTGTGTTCGAGCCGGCCCCACCCTGACATGATGCACAGGCAGGGAGACACACACCCAGTCACGCTTCGGGACACGGAGCCTGCCAGCTGGGGGCGTCACCCTGCGCTCCCTCAGGATGTGGGTCCACCCAGGAATCTGCAGTCTTCCCAACAAGAAGCACAGCAGGGTGGGGGCCATGAGGTGGTTCAGCCTCTTTTCTAGAGGCTGCTGGCAATTTTAAGTATTGAAATTATTTGGCAAGAGCTCTATTTGACCGGGAAGAGGTTAAAGAGGATGACTGGAGATAAGCAGACCTTGGGAGAAGTACGGGTGGAACAAATTAAGGACTTGGAGAAAGCAGGTAAGAAACACATCAGAGCTCAAACTGCCAGTTCCACATCCTTTTTGGAATGCGGGTCTTGGGGAAGGAGAAGATCCAAATAAGGCAGCTTCACATCTTTTAAGCACTTACCTTGTGCAAGCTCTTCTGGCATCGACTCATCTAACAAATCATGGGAATTAATAGCATCCATCCTGCATGGGAAAGGAGACTGAAGCACAAGGAGGCTAAATCATCCACCAACAGTCATTAGGATCTGAACCCAGGTGGTTCAACTCTAGAACCTACATCCTTCCCATTTCCCCATGCTCTCATTTCTGGTCTGGGTGACCCGGGAGATGGTGACATCACTGGCTGAGATAGGAAGTCAGGAGGAGGAGCAGGTGAACACATGTGGCAACAGCGTGGCCAGACAAGGTGGTGTTTGGGCTGTGAATACCGCATGGGTGTTCTGCAGGCGCCTCAAGGGAGATGTCCAGTGGGCTCCATGTTCCAAGGTAGAGAGGAAGCTGGTTTTCATTAAAAAGAATGAAACATTTGCAAAAAATACTGCTGGCTGAGTTTCCCAGTCAAGCTATTCAAGGAAGGCCTGCTGTGCTAACAAATAAGAAGAACATGTCTCGGTTGAAGGTTTGGCCAGAGCTTTAGAAAAGGCAACATCATCAGCAAAATGCTCAGGCCTCTAGAACACAGCAAGTGCTTCATGGAGAAGGTCTACAGAAGAGACCAGGATCAAGCCTCAAAGAAGGAATGGGGGAATGAATGTTCCTAAAGCTCCCTCCCTCTACAACGCTGTGGACCAGAGTGTCTCACTGTTGCCTGCCCATTGGGATCACCTGGGAAGCCTCCTCCCAGAAGTAATCGGAACGTCTCGGGGTGGGCTCTCAGGGTTATTCTTACATGAAGCTGGGGTGAAAACCCACAGCCAAAGAGGGAGGAAGTTTTGTCTTGGGAGGTGACCAGAGAGCTGGACGAGTAGTAACTAACACGTACACTTTTCAATTCAGAAAGCACTTGCACATATGTGATGATAGTTAAGGAACATCTGACTGCTATCCACTGGTCAGATGGGGAAACCAAGTACCAAAGAGAGAAATGGCTTTCTCAAGGTCAACCATTATGTATTGAAAAAGCCATGACTCGAACTTAGAAGATCTGCTGATTCAAGGCTTTTTCCTAACGGCAGGGCGGTACCTCAGACAGAAGGCCAAGCTCATCTGTAGTCCCACAGAAAGTGATAATGTTGGTGTTTTTAAAGTAATTGTTCTTCATGGAAGTTCCTCAAAAATTAGAGTGTACTGAAACATTAAGGGGTAAATGGCATGAGATCATTCCAAGAAGGGATGTGGAAGCCCAGACAGCATGATGGCCCAATGGCCAGGAGCAGGTAGGGAGGACCAGGAAGGGATGATGGGGAAAAAAAATCAGGGAGAAGATGGAGGGAGCCATGGGACAGCCTGGGCCAGGAGGCCTCGTGGTCTGGGCTCCAGGCACAAGCCTTTGGGTGCCTATACGAGGTAGTGGTGGTGGAAGGGGCAAATCTGAGAAATCCCTGAGGTTATTCATCAATTCTTAGGAATTCTTCTGGGACACGTGAGGTACTAAGGAACACAGTGCCCTTTCTCTAACCAGATACTAATCACATGCTGCTTTGTGTAGAGCTGTGTAATTTAAAACACATGGTCATCTTCCATTTACACGATCATTCGAGGTGAGTGTTATTCTCCCACCTCAGTAGATTCATGTGTAAAACTGGAATGATGCCTTACAGAAACATAAGAGGATGAGTGGAACAGCATGCCTAACACAACACCCAGCACATAGGTGCAGGACAAATGGCGGCACTTCCTGTTTGCATGTTGTGACTGTGGATGGTCAGGCTCAGCCTCATCAAGTACAGTCTAGTAGTCAAGAGTGTGACTTCTGAAATCTAGCTGTTCAACCTTGTAACAAGTTGGTTACCCACATGGAATCTGTTTTTTGTGGTATAAAATAGAGACACCTGAGCTTTTCTCATGTGGTTGTTGGGAGGATTAAATGAGGTGGTGTGTGGAAAGCTCTTAGTACTCTTGGAAAATCCGCACTGTTTGTTGCTTATTAAAAGTTCTAATACTTAACAAATAGCCAAGTGGACAGGCCAACCCTGAAATCTAGGCCAGTGCTCTTTCTACTGCAGCAAGATGGGTTTTGTTTTTTGGTTTTTGCAGTAGTGGGGATTGAGTGTGGGATGTTTGCACTGAGCTGCATCACCAGCCCTTTTTAAATGTTTTAAATTTTGAGGCAGGGTTTCATTAAGTCACTAAGCTGCCCACTAACTTGCAGTCCTCCTGTCTCAGTCTCCCAGAATGCTGGAATGGTAGGCATGCACCACCACTCCTGGCTCTGAGGCAGCTTCTGATGATATTAACCCAAGTGAGAGGGAAAAGGAGACAGCCTGTGGGGTACACTGAGCACTCACATCTCTGCTGAACTCCTTAGGGCCTCATGACGCTCCCCCACCAGCCTGTCAGATGTGCACAGACCCGTGTCCCACACGGTCTACGACCTTGAAGCCAGCACTTCCGGTGGGTGTTTTATTATTTATTCACTTGACAGGGAGCATAAGAATGGTCCTGTAAGACACCATGCTGTTGGCTTAACGATTCACTGTTGAAAAACAAAACTCCTCTGGGCTCTTAGAAAGCCTTTGCTCAGTCTGTCAAGGGTCGCTCAGTCCCTGTATGGAAAAACCCAGTCCCCCAAAAAAGACCCGTTATTACCAGATCCTCCCCAGGGAGCCACCATCCCACAGCCCTCCAGAACCACCATCCTGGGTCAGGTGACATTGACACACGCCATGCTGAGAAGAACAGGTGTTCTGAGCCTGGCATTCTAGACAATTTCCATACCTTACAAAGTATATAAATTAAGAGGTTTACATGTATACAAAATGTTTCAGAGGGGACTGAATTCCATTTCTATGTCATGCCGGGTGTCGGTGAGAACCTTGATCACAAAGGTGGTTTTCGATGGAGCCGGTACCAAGAGAAATTTATACACAGGCCCGGCCCCTCTCGTGTCCCCCATGAAACCCTCTGGTGTTGTCAGGGCCTCTGGGCAGCCTCAGCACCCCCACGGGTAGCCCATCTGCAGTCTGCATCTTCCGAGACAGCAGGGGACTTGCCCCCGGGCTCTTCTCCTGTGTCCCCATCTCAGCTTGGCGGCGCCTCCGCACCCACGGGCTGCCTGAAGGAGTGGCGCTGCTATCCGAGGAGTAGTCCGTGCACTTGCGGAAGATCTCAGGACTCGTGCTGCAGTTCAGTCTACCGTCTTCGGCCAGTGGTGATTTTCTGGAAACGCCTTTGCGCTGGGCCAGGGGGCTGCTCCAAGGACTTGAGCATGGAGAAGCATTTGGGCTCAGAAAGAGATTTTGGTGGCCAGAAGGGCTGAGCTTGTTGGCGACCACGTGGCGTCGGCCAGCCATGGGGGAGGTGGGATTGCTCTCGGGGTCGGAGGAGCTGTTGGCAGAGGACTCGTCCCCCATGTATTGAAGCTCCTCCACTCGCTTGTTGAGGGACTTGTTCAGATGGATGCTCACAGTTGGCTCCTCGTCGTGGCTCTTATCTTTAGAAGGTTTCTTTTTGGGTGGCTTCATACCGATCAGGATAGCTTTCATGTTCTCTTTGCTCTGAGATTCGGTGATCATGAATTCGTGGGCTTTGATGGCCGCTTCCACCTCCTCGAACTCAACAATGGCACATTCTTGGGTCCCCACCTGGCTGTACCGGCTGCTGATCCTCCGGATATCCGGGGGCAGCTCTCTCCCTGGTTTGAGGATCCGCACCGACGAGATGACTCCAAAAGTCCCAAAGAGCTTGAGCAAGTGTTCCATCACTTTCTCCTGTACCCTGCCATTCTTCTGTGGGGTGCTTGGTGCCCACAGCTTGGGGGACAGGTGTAGGTCATAGACCAGGAGCATCTTGCTGGGGAGATTCTCATTGGGGAAGAGTGGGACTGGGGTGGTCCTCCTCACCTTCCGGTGGTCCTCATTCAACTCCAGGGTCACTGAATACTTCAAGGCGTAAGCTGTGGTTCTCCAGTCTCGGGTAAGGTGTTTCACCTGGAGAAGATAAACGCAAACCGGAAATAGTACCTGACGCCCTTCTTGCCACTTGATGTCATTTATGTTGCCATCTCTGTCCCTTCCTCATTCCTCACACTACTGCCTAGAATCACCCCTGTTACGTGAGGTTCAATGATCTGGTGAATGAAAAGACTTTCTACAACTTTGGGTGAGGGCTGCACAGTTTAGAACATTTCCATCCAAGAGAACACCCCAAGACAACGGAGACATTCAACTCTGTGCGTGTTTGTGAGTAAACTGTAACAAGACTGTTGCATACCCAAATCCAAGACTCGCCTCTAAGGGACAGAGAGACTTGGAAAGTTACTCAGCCTCTTAGTGCTTCAAGGTCTTCATCTGTAAAATGGAAATGTTAACAGTGTCGATCTCACATGACCTTCACTGTCATGAAAATGAAAGGAATAAAAATATATACACATACAGAAACACATTTATATATAAAGTATAGACGAGTGCCTGGCTTTCAGTGAATATTCGATAATTATGTTATCATTTCAAATACTATGAGCTGCCATTTTGGTGGGACTTGGAGATTTTAACATCAAGCGCTCCTTGGAGCTGTATTTCTGCGTTTCTGCACTTAGTACAGGGAAAGGTCTGATAGATTGTCCCTATTTCTCTGCAGTACTGCCTGAGAATGACACGGACTTTTTCAACTTGGAACAAAATCCAACTTGAGCCTCTTGGAGGAGGGTGAAATAATGCCTCCTCCTCCCTTGATGGAAAATGTGTGTACTGACACTGCAGTATATGAAAGCTATATTTATGTTGTAAAATAGTTATTTTCTAGAGGCCCACTTCCGGGGCAGGGAATGCCACGGAGAATGAGTCATCCCAAAGAAATTGTCGAGGTGGGTGGGGTGAGTAACCTGTGCCAGGAATGGCGAAATCACCCCTAGTCCTCTGAGCCCAGGCCAATGCAACTGTTTTGCAGAAGAACTGGGAACTCTAGGGGCCCCTGAGCCTCAGAAAGAAACTGCATGGAAAGCGAAAAGGGAAGGCTCACTAACTGGGCTGGATGAGAGACTCTGTGGCAGAGCCATGAATATAGTCAGGCTACTGCCGAAGGACTGCTGTCCACTGTATCCTGTGGCCTCTGGGTGAAAATGGTCCAGCCTTAGGGTACAGGAACCACAAATCACTTACACACAGAGCCAGTGGGCTGACACTGAGACACACACAGGCCAAAGGTACAGAGGAACAGGCCCAGGCGGAGTAGGACTTCAGATGAATAGAATCATCTGTAAGGTTGTGGGAAAGCCAGGCAGTGGCTCTCCAGGGCTGACACATGGTGGATGGAACCACTTCCAAAATCAGCTGGAGAGGAAGACTCAGGAGAGGAGAAGAAACTCCCTCATAAGCCTGAGATCCGAGTAGGGAGGACCTGGGGGAGGCAAGTGCTCTCTTACTTGTAGGGCTAGAGAAGCCAGTGGTGGACTATCTTGTGGTAGGACCAAGGCCCTCCAGAACCAGGAGCAAAGTCTGCCGGGAAGGCATCCCAGGCCTGTGCCCATGGCCTTTTATTAGAAGTTTCCAAGCACCGCCTCAGAGGAAGAGCCAGGGAGTTTTGGTCCTTATGCGATTACTACAGGAACTTTCTGAGATGTTGATAACCTTGATCATACCTGTCTCCCAGTGTGATTAGCAAACACCTTCGCAAATGAAAAGGGTCTGTGCTCTGCTGTGGGTGGGGTGGGGCGGAGGACTCTGTCTAGGCTGCGGCTGGTCTTCCACAGAGAAGATTGCTCCTGGATAGATCCCTAGGGGCAGCTTAGAGAGGAAAGGAAATCAGGCTGACCCTCGGGGTCCCTGGGGAGCAGGAAGAGAATGTGCAAGAGGATTCCCCACAAACGTTTCTCACATGAGAGCTAGCTCAGTGTTCTCTGGACATGAAATATCCCTTCTGTCCCTGCTGCCTTGAAAACTCCTATTCATCCTCTGGGACCTTATCCCATGGACACCACCTCTGGAAAGATGCTCTGCTCTCTGACAAAGTGCACAGGCAACTTGGCTGGGACGCACTTGTTACACAGCCTATCATGCAACAGGCCTCGTGGTGCTTTTCCATTCTAGTAAATATCTTTCCCCAAGGGAAACACAGAGTTCTTATTCCTACCAGGCTGTCAGCTCTCTGAAAAGCAGAGAGGTCAGAGCCCAGACGCGATGTCAGTGCACAGCAAGGAGTCTGCTGCTTGGTTCTCACCAGTTCTCAGACTTCCTGTCTTGATCTCTGCTGTACAGGAGCGATGCTGGCATTACACAGATCACACTGGTATCCTAGGAAAGGCTCATCCCCAGAGGTCTGAGTGCTCCCTCCCTCCCTATATGTACTCAGCCAGACAAACAAAATGCTTGGAATTCATATAATTTAGGCTGACAGGTGTCTCTCAAGGCCTCCAGTTGGCCTGTCCTAGCACAGCACCCCTCCTAGGCCCCCACATTTCTGGCGAGAGGGCCTGAACTTTACTGAGAATGAGTATTAGCGTTTTGTTATTGCCACCAGCTGAGATTTAACCTAGTGCCCGGGATCCTTTTAACAGTATGCAAGTGTATTCCTCATAATGAGCCTAAATCCCTTCTCTTCATCACTGCTTAGGCTTCAGATCTAATAAGAAAAACTGCTAGTCATCAGGCATCAAGGAGCAAAAATTGTTTGATGCCACCCAAGCTGCCCTGTCATCCCGGAAGCAGCTGCCTGGATGCCTCACCTTCTTGAAGGAGGTGAGCAGCTTGACGCTCACATAGCCCATCTTGTTCCGCCGCACGTGCTTCAGCAGAAAGGCGTCTTTCTCCAGGTTTTCATCGGAGAAGTAGAACTCGATCTGGTCCACCAGCTTCCTGATGAGTTCCTCATCCGGGGGTTTCCACTCCTGCTCCAGGTCCTCACGCTCATTCTCACCCCCACTTGTTGTGGTGCCACTGAGACCAGAAGGAGATGGTGAGTTACAAGGGGAGCCGTGTCCCTCCTGAATTCCTGTGTGGACTCCTGACTCCAGGAGCTCAGAAGGTGGCCTGAATTGGAGACAGGGTCACTGCAGATGGATTGGTCAAGATGTCACAGTGGATAGGGTGGGCCTTATTCCAGTACAACTGGGGTCTTTATGAAAAGGGGATTGGGGCACAGACACACACAGGAGAAACTCATGGGCAGATGAAGGTAGAGGACAGGGTAACGCCACAGAAACCAAGGAATGCCACAGACTACAACCGGAGGCCAGCAAGAAACCTGGAACAGATCCTTCCCTGGACCTGGAGAGGCACATGGCCAGCTGATCTCTGATTTCAGACTTCCGGACTCCAGAGCCCCAGATGAGACATTTCCGTTGTTCTAAAACACTTGCTTGTGGCTCTTAGTGACAGTAGTCCTAAGAAATTACACTGGACAAGCCTGACTGGACTCCTCAAGGGCAATGACTGCATGTCCCAAATCACCTAAGAAATTAAGGTTTTGTTTCCAACCAGTATGGAAGACCCTCACAATAGTAACACCACTGCCTACATTTATGTGGTGCTCTGTGAGAAGAGTGACCTGGTCTTTGAACAAGATCCTCCATACTCTCTAAAAACAGACTGGATTTCTTATCTGGTTGGGGGATTGAAGCTTTTCCCTTTGTGGCCAGATGATCACCTCTGATAGGTCCAGTTTGGATGTGATAGTGTAGAGTTGAGGACAGATGGTCGGGGAATATGTACATTTACCAATTAGAGAAAGAAGAGACCGAAAGGCCTGTCAAATGGCAAAAAGAATCAGATTTTTAAAGTTACCTAAGCCCCAGGGGGACAGAGAGTATCAAGAAGAAGGTCACAAACTATGTCAGGCCCAGCAGCAGGCAAGAGGATGGAGACAGACAAGAGGCACCAGTAGGAGCAAAAGGCTCTTTGGCGGAAGACCAGAGGTACAGAAAAGCTGGGGTGCCCAGGGGAGGTCTGGACAAGCCTGGCTGGGTAAACCTCATCTTCTCAGGCCAGTCAGGGCCAGAATCCTGCTGGCAGGGAAGCAGACATGGCAGACCTTGGGTGAACAGGAGGCTCCAGAACAGCAGTAGGAGAGCAGGAGGGGTCACACTGCCCTCCTTCTACCATGCCTTTGGGTTTTTGTGGCTGTTGCTGCTTTGTTTTGTTTTTGTGATACTGGGAGTTGTCCATCATGTTCACGAGTTTCCCTTTCATAACAACATCAATTGCTCTATTATGGGGGTAGTATTTTGTGGGCTGAGGGTCTTTATGGTACTTCTGTCAACTCTGATGTATGAGCCATTTGTAGTAAGTTAGATCATTTTTCCAATAGCCCTGAGTCCCCTCAAAACTCTTCATTGGTTATTATCACACCCCACTTTACCTTTGCTGTTTACTTGACATCCTCATCAGCTAGGCTCAGAATTCCCTATGCATCTTATGTGGTATATTCCCCACTCAGGTTGATCCTCCTGCCTCAGCCTCCTGAATGCTGGGATTACAAGTGTATACCACCATGCCCAGCTTTTGTGTCCTATTGTATAACTGAGGATTTGGGGTCACTTATGTCCAAAGCAGTTCTTCCAATTTTTAAAATTTTTAGTTTTGATTCTTCTGTTAGCCTCCTACTTGTTCTCAAATAATACATTTAAAATTGTTTATTTCATCAGTACTAATGTTTTTTTAACTATTCCTCACTATGCAAATATGTATATTTCTTTTTCTTTTTTGGGGGTACCAGGGATTGAAATTGGGTCCTTGCGCTTGCAAGGCAGGCCACCAAACAGCTGAGCTAAATCCCCGGCCCTTATATGTATATTTCTGTCCTATCTCTCCTTCTATTTCCAGCTTTTGAATTTATTTCCCACTTTCTCACTTCTATCAGTTATATTTTTCTTTCATTTTGGCATGGTTCATAATATACCATTCTCTTCTATAACAAATCTTCCATGTTTTGTCTTCAGATAGATACTAAAGGGTGGAAAGTCAATCAATTTTGTTTTATTATCATGACTACATAAACATGTTTCCTTTAGAACTAAGTCATTTGCTAAGATTCTATTTCTTCTCTTTAAGTTCTATCAGTTGTGACCACTAGAATTGATCTTCTATGCTTATCTTCTCTCTCGTAGAATCTGTCTTTGCTTTTGTCTCTGATTTACATGCTAAGAGGTTTCACCGGCATTATCTTCCAACTTTCCTAGTGAAATTTTAAATTGTAGTGCTTATATATTTAGCCCTTAAGAACTCTTTTTAAAGCATCCTGTTGTTTTGTGGATGCAATATCTTAAATCTCTCTCAGAGCTCTTTTAAAACTTTTTTGTTTCCAATAAGATCCAATTCTGTTTCCTCTGGGGCCAGTTCTTCTATTTAATTTTCCTGCCACTAATTTGCTTCATGTGACTGCCAATTCACTTCCTTCTTCAAGAACTCCAATAAACTTGTTTTTAAAGTAGTTTGAGATTTACAGAAAAGTTGTAAAAATAATACAGAGAGCTCCCATATACCTCACACTAGGTTTGTCTATTATTAATATGTTAGTATGGTACATTTCTTACTATGAATGAATAATTATACATCATCATCATTATTATTATCTGAAGCCTATACTTTATTCATATTTCCTTCATTTTTACCAAAAGCATCCTATCCAGGACACCACATGACATTTAGTTATCACACTTCTTAGCCTCCTCTGGGCTGTAAGTTTCTCACTTTCCCCATCTTTGATGACCTTAACACTACTGAGAAATACTGATGAGGTACTCTGTGGAATGTGGTTTGGTGGGGTTTCACTGATGTCTTTGCCATGATTACTTTAAGGTGACAATTTGGGGAGGGAGGACCATAGAGGTAAAGTTCCATTCTCAGCATATCAGGGTGCAAACTATCAAGAAGGCTTAGTGCTGTGGATGTTAACATTGAGCACCTGTCTGATGTAGTGTTTATCCAGTTTCTCTGATACAAAGTTCCTCTTTTTCTCCTCTTTCTTACTGTATTTGTTGGAAGAAAATCACTACACAAAAGAAGGGGGTTAAGCTTCACAGGTATTCATTTAGAAGAATAAAATCTGGGGTTACCTTTGCTTGCTGGGTTAGGTGGGCTCCCACTGCAGTTCTATCTTCCTATTGGATTTCTTCCTGGGGTAATGTCTACACTTCATGTGGGGTCCTTCTACCCAAATTGAGGGGTATGTTTTACTCTGCGGCTGCCAGCTCTGTCTTAGCAGCCCTGAGTTCTATGGTGAGTTCACTCAGTTCCTTTAAAAATAATCTTGTTTCTTCTCTCCATCTTGAAGGCAAATGGTATGTTACCTGCTACTTTCCACTGGCAGGCAGAGAGGCAGGGAAATGGTTCTAAAAGAAGAATTTAAATTATCTCTCAGATATTTGCACCTCTTTTTATTCTGGCATCCTTCATATATTTCCCAACTAGAGCCTTTCCAGGGTTCTGTCTTCCCACCTCCTACCACCTCCTGTGTTGTATTTTGGGCTACAGCCTCCTCCACTCTGTGCCATTTTACATATTTTGAAGAACAACTATAATGTCACTGCTGTACTTTAATATTACTACGACTAATAAAAGGTTCTCTATTGCCTACTAAATATCTAAAGCCATTAACTCCATATTCAGATGCATTTAGAAGCTGACTACCCAGCTTCCAAACTTATTTCCACTTCCATATCCTTTGCCACAAGCAAAGAGTTACAGTTCACTGTGTCACAGTCTTTCAGGACCCTATTGCCTTTGTGAATTCTGTTCTCATCTAGTTAAGTGCCTTGACCCCCACTCCCACCCCACCCAAGTTCAGATCTTAGCCACACAT